AAAGGTAATGAGCCGGTCTTTGGTCCTTTCTAACTGCATACTCACCTCCTTGTGGTTTTCATCTGGTGTATCAGAACCTGAAGGTTCCATGCAGGTTCCCTATCCCATTTCTATGACTTTCCAACTGGGTTGGAAGGAGATTCCATGAACCTTCTCAGGCTACTGGCTAGGCACCCATCCAACCACCCACTCCCCACTTCTTGCCTCAAGCAGGGAAACTGTGCTTTTACGGATTTCATTCATTTATGCCTCCTGAGCTTTCCTTGGGTAAATGAATTCTATGGCAAGAAAGAAAAGAGTGAGAGAAAGAGAACAAAAAGTTTATAAACCAAAAATCCAATCCACCTCATCTAGATGCAAAACATTAGACTCAGAAGGAAAAAAAAAAAAAGCTCTCTTCTTTAACTGGCCCTGAAAGTTATTCCTTCTACTAACTTGTGTACACTTCCCTCCAATCCCTTCTATTTCCTCAGGATAGTCTTTAACCTTTAATACTGGATTCCAGGTGAGAATAAGCCCTCCAAAGTGCAACTACCTCCTTTAGAATCTTTCAGTGGCAACCACCCGAAGTCCAGGCAATCACCTACAAGGCCTGGCTAAGTCCATTACTTTATCTCTCTCTGTCCTTCCTGCTGGCCATACCTAACATACAAAGCCCACCAATGAGCACTTGGCTGACAGGGCAGACCCTCAGTCATCTCCTACTCTAACATCTCACACAGTGTTTCACTCACAAGACCTCACTGATGTTGGTGAAATGAAATTCTGTTCTTCAACATGTTGATACGTGGCTTTCCCCCCTTCTTTGCCATTACCCCTACACCTACCTTTTCCACATCTTCCATTTCTGTGACCCATATAATCTCCCATCTACCATTCTGTTTATCATCTCACTCCTAGAATACTATCACAGTCTAGTAAGCCTCAGAATCACCCCATATCTTACACACAGGTATGTTTTTTGGTTTTTGGTGGTGATGGTAGTGTTTTTTGTTTTGCTTTTCTTTTGAGATAGTGTCTTGCTATGTAGTTCAGGCTGGACTTGGACTCACCGCAATCCTTCTGCCTCAGCCTCTCAAGTGCTAGAATTACAGGTGTGAGCCATCATGCCTGGCGGCCATGTTCTGACTTGAGCAAAGAAAGAGTTCCTGGATCAAATTTGAATGGAGAAAAATGCACAGGGCTCCTCTAAAGCTCAGAGGGGCTGGCTGGGCAGCATGGGCAAAGAGAAAAAAGGCAGTAAAATCTCCTAGGGAAAAATACTGTCTAAAATTCAGGAGTGATAATACTATTCAAACGTTTCTTTAGCACTAACTATGCACATAGGCCAGTGGTTGGCCCAAACGAGACCAACAGGATCAGACTCCATTCCTATCTTTGAGGCTGTCACAAGGAGGTAAGATGAGACATCTAAATAAGATACAATCAGATAACTCTTCTGCTAACAATCTGAACTATGATGGCAGTGCAGTAAAAAACCGAGTACATTTTGCATGAGAGAGAATCAGGGAATGAATAGATATGAAAATTTGAAGTGTTCAATGATATAACTTTTAAAATCACCTCAGATGTCAAACATTTAGAATCACTGATATCTAAAAGTCCAAGACCAAATTCCTTAATATGCCATAAGATCCTGAAAGATCACATTTCAATTACTTTTCCAGTCTTCTCTCTCCTATATGTACTCTATAAGACCTAAATTCCACGTGTGATATACTTGTCACTCCTACTGAATTCTGACAATTTCCCATCTCCAAGCCTTGAATTTTACTGATGCTTCCCACTAACGCCTTTCCCCTCGTGTATCCAATTAAAGTCAATTCCGACAGCTAGTAAACTGACCGAACAAACTCTAAGAGTTTTATTTTGGTCTAATTTTGTTGTCAATCTTTAGAAACGTCATGGAGATAAGGAACTCATTTTAATAAGACCTATTTATGATCCCAGAATTCAAAAATCGCTAGCTCCCACAAAAATCCTCACATTCTCATTCCAGACCATTGCCAGAGAAGGGTCAGATTCAGCGCTGGAACTACTAATAAATCTGCGATTTTTTTAACCTTTCATACTTAAGTGAAACTTGCAAAGAAAAAAAAATTGATTTCTGCCAACAAAACTGCTAATAAGAAAAATGTAGCCCACAAATAATTTTAAGTTCTATAAATGTAATATTATTTGTGCTTCAAACAATATTATTCAGGAAATAATTTGTAATCACTTACTACATTGTCCACATATTAAAATGTATGGCTTGCACTAAATAGAGTCAATATCCTTACTTTACAATGTAGTCATACTAACTTACAAGAAAAAACTTAAAAGCATGAAGAAATCACTCCCAGAAGAGAAAATGCAAACAACAAACAAATCTAAATAGAACGTCACTTAACTTGATTAGTGTTTTTAAAAGATTAAAATAATGACTAGCCTTTTTTTCTACTTCTTAAAATTAGTCCACAAATATTTTAAAAATGAATACTCCTGGGTAAATACAAAGACACTGTTTTTCCTTTTTTCATATACTATCAATGACACAATAAATTGTTACCACTATTTTCAACAATGGGCACCAGCGAGCTATGCACCTCCTCTCCCCTGTGCTTTAGGAGAATCTAGTCCAAAAAGAAAGTATCACACGACAATAAAGCTATATACACAGAGATATTTTCCACAGCTTTATTAAAATAATGAAAACATCCTGGTGTTAAGCAACAGGGGGACCAATTAGCAGCCCACATAGCCACTGGGTAGACCGCTGAACAAACAGTTACCAGTGTACTGGTTATGCACACTCCACAACATGGGAAATGTCTCCTCAAAAGATTAGGTGAAAGCAGGGGGATATAGATCTGTCTATGTGGCATTTGTGATTATAATTATGTAAAAGAAAACACATACAAATACACCCAAATTCTAGTAGTAACTGTGTTAGCTGGAGTTATAAGCAATTTCTGTCATTTCTATTTTCGGTAGTTCAGATCTTTTTTGATTTTGTTGGATTTTGTAATATTTGCATATAAATAATGAGGCATCTTAGGGATGGGGACCAAGATAAATAGTAAATTAATTTTATATTTCATATATACCTTATAGCCTAAAGGTGATTTTATACAATATTTTTAGTGTGCCTGCATTTCATATGAGGTCAGGTGTGAAATTTTCTACTTATGGTATCATACTAGTCCTCAAAAAGTTTCATATTTTGGAGCATTTCCTATTTTGGACTTTCAGGTTAGGGATGTGTTCAAACTATAGTACATTTCTTTTCTAAAGAAAAGTTGTTTTCTAGTTTACTTAGCATCTAATATACAACTGTGATCTTTAGACCTTTCAAGAGAAAGTTCTAGAAGACAAGCTTTAAAATGCCACAAACAACCTTGTCCATTCAATGATGGCAGCTCCACATGATTCAATTTTTCAGAGGACTAAAAGCAACTGACCCCAAATGTGGACTTCCAAAATTAATCACAGTGATTGCTTTTCTTTACTGAAGCCAGACTATTCTCATGCAGTTCCTTATGAGGACTACGTGAGAAATAAAATGACTTAAATGTTCAGCCAGATTTCCTAAAGAAGCAATTGTACGAAAACACCTCATTTACAAAGACTTAGCAAGGCTGCCAGACGACAACATACACAGTACCTCCACTGTTCCCATAGTTTGTTCCCTGTCAATTCTCTGCTCTTTATGGGACCCCATGGCATTCCAGAGCCCCAAGTTCCTTGTCTTTATATGTGCAACTCTAGGCACACAGAGTTTCTTAGGCATTGTTAACCAAAACAAGTCCTAAATGTGAAAAGTGGCCCATTTGTGCTTCCCAAATATGGTCCTGTCTACTGAACCAAAACAAAGCTATCTAATTACGACATCTAGTATATTTGGAATCTTCTACTTGGACAATCTAGATAATTCAAAATAGGGCAGATTCCCAAATTCATTTGATAAAAGCAAAACATCTTAGCTCTGGATAAATTATAAACCCTTAACCTCAAAATAAAAGTAAATCCAGGATAGAGACACCAGGCTTCTTCTGAAGGGGTGACTATCTAATGTCTATCTGGGGAGCAAACATAAATGGAAACATCTTGAGTTCCAAGGGAGTCACAGGCCATACAGATAAATGAGACTAAGAAGCACTGTGTGAGGCTGAAAAGCAAATCTAAACATGTTTTTAGAGCTTAAGAACAGGAGAGAAGGTTGGGCTGGACATGGCAGGAGAAGTGTCTCCTCTCATAGACAATCCACACATAGTTCCCGTTTCACTTTTCTTTTTAGCCACAAAATTCCTACAGCTAAATATTCACCACATCCTATATTATACAGACATCTGCAGTACAGGCCCATACCATGGTCATGAATGAGGGAACAGAGGCTCCATTCAGTAAAAAGACTTTGAATCTTTTGCAAATTCATAGCTTAAATACCTCAATTCCTAAAACTGACTTACTAAAAAACTGCTTATTTTCCGTAAGTTTTAAAATTTTACTGAGTACACTAACCTACTCAAAAGTCAATATGAAACACTGAAAATAATCTCTTTTCTGAGAAAAATTCTCTTCTAAGTGGTGTTTCTTTAATAACTGAGATGGACACATACACAGAGGCCTGAAATCAGTATATCTCTGAACTTGGGCTCTGTAGACCAAGGATTATCAGTGCTTACTATAATAAACCTGCAACTTTGGCTCCCATTACTCACAGCAGTATACTAGTACTGTCCATTCCTCCAATCTATTATTTGGCATTAATTTTAGTCAATTTTTAATAAATCCCATATAAAAGCTGCATCAAAGTATTTGAGAATACAAGGCAAATTTCTGAAATGGGTTTTCTTCAAACTAAGACAAAAGCACTAAAACATTTACTATAGTAACAAACTCAAAGCAAATATTTGATGAGAGTATTTTGTTTCAATCTATGTTGGATCTCAGGCCAGACTACATAGAGTTAGCATCTAATATACATTTTATGTATTAATATATAAATATGAGCGTACCTGTCTATATACATATGCAAATTTTATCTGCACTGCAGGCAGCAGAGAGCCGTGGCTCAGCTGGGGCCTGCCATACCTTCGTATTTAGCTGTCACAAATGCTTGCTGGCTGCTGGAAAACAATAACAAGTCAGGATCAAAAGATCGGGATTTGAGTACAAACTTGGCCTGGGCTATGCAAATTGAGAAGTCCCTTATTTTGACAGCCGTGGCTTACTCATCCATAAAAGGGAATTAATATCTAATTTAACAAGTTGCTCTTAAGATTAAATTTTAAAAACAAATAAGACATTATAAATTGTGTTATAAATGGAAAGTACTCTAGAAAAGAAGGTGCTATTCCTTTTTATCCTTTACTATTTTAACAGACTGATGAGTAAAATCTCTGTTTAACTGATTTTGAGATTGATGTTACCAATATTTACCTGTACCAAAAATCATAATTTACAAACTACAGAATGATTCAAACCCAGAAATCAGTCTCCAGCTCTAAATGAAAAATGATCTTGGTAAAGACATCATGTTTTAAAAGATTTTAGAGTTGCTAGCTCTTCAGGGTCAGGTCTCCAGGACAAAACCATCATTACGGACGCAATGCTGCTCTGTGCTCACACTACAAGACAGACACGAAGTGTCTCTTTATTCCTAAAAGTACTGAGAACCAGACAATTTACATTTCTGATCCTCAGAACCTCTAGTAAGGTTTACATATCCAGTCTGCAAATGGAAAAATTGAGTCTCAATAAAAATCAGAAGATGTGCTGAGAAGTCCAGCAGAAACAAGTAGAAAAGCTGTAAGACAGATCCTGGCTATGGCTCTACCAAGCAGCTCCATCTCACAAGTTATAGAACAGTGCCTGCCTGAAGCAAGATGCTCCTATACAAAGACTGCTCTGAGAGCGCACAGATCTTAAAAAGACAAGTGGATCATATGAAGGAATTTTATTTCAGCTGTAGTAATAAGATACTCATATTCATCAACCAATATAAAAGATAGTCCCTACCCTCAGAGACTGTCTTCAAGAGAAGATGATGAATTACAACAAACAGCATGCAAGAACGTATAAGGGCTGCCATCCCCTATAGGAATGTTCTAAATAAAAGAATGCCAAGCTTTGAGACTTACAGAGGAAAGACAGTGCACATGTTGACCAAAGCATTCTCTTCTGAATGGTTAAAATAACCCTGTAGTTTCTTTATAAAATCTTCCCACAGTCTGTTGGAAGCAACAACATACACCGACACCTCTCTATACACACTTGCCTTTTTAATAAGTGTAGAGAGAAACTCTAGAATAAATATAACTTGGATTTGAGTTGTTGCTATGCCACTTACTAGACGCATGATCTGCAATTAACCTTGCTAGGCCTCAGCTTCTCATCTATAAAATGGGAAAAATGGAAGCTATCAACCTTATAGTTCACAGTGAGGATTAAAAGAGATCAAGCACACTCTGGGGCCTATTACAGTGTTAGCAAGTTTTCAATAAATTTTAGCTACTTTCAGCATGATTATCATCATCAATAGCATCCAAGAAGGAGGCTCAAAACTACTTTCACCACAGCTGATTTCTCTGAGTAGTAGCAGATGTTCTTTTTAGCTAAGAAAAGAACAGTCTCAGGGGCTACAGTATAGCTCAGTGTTAAAGCATAATAAAAGGACAGTCTCAATCAGCTTCCCATTCAAGAACTTACAGAACCCGCTTCTTCACTTTCTTATGAGGTAACATGGCCTGCTTTCAACAGCACAATCCCTTCCATGAGCAAACTTCCTGTAAGAAGCAAAGAAAATGGGCTACTCTTTTCCCCAAGAGTTTAATCTCACTGATGTTATGTGTCATTTGATGGACAGATAAATCTTTCTATCTTCCATGTCTTCTGCTACTAACAAGTTGTTCTTCTCACCAAGCACCTAAGTGAGAGTCCCCAAATAGGTAGTGGCTAGCACATAGCACAGAACAGAACAGTCCAGTCGATGGAAAGGGTTTGTACTGAAGCACATATGAAATTACACTGGGTGGATGCTATACACAAACCATAATTCAGGCCAAGGAATTGGTAGGAGAGAGGTTTCCTAATTCAAGATTCAGGCTGGCTAAGACATGCAGAATGTGCTATAGAGTTTGAGGTCCTGGGGCAGGGAAATGGTATGGGCAGACTGTGGCATGAGGTCAGGTCACAAAAGAGGGCACTGAGGCCCAGTGGTTTTCATCAGACACATAGAAATTCTTCAACCACATATACCCTTTCTGCCCAGGAAAGAAGCTCCCAGCAACTGGGCTAAGAAAAGCTCCATGGAATCCCTGATTGCAGCAATCACAGGTGAGTTTCTACATTTGTCTTTCTTGCTTACTTGGAGCAAAACCTGCTGCTCAGAGGATTTGATCTTCTGTGCATACTTCCTAAATCTCATTCTGTCATTTCTACCCACAGTAAAGCTCTTTTTCTACCCTACTGCTTTGGTGGCTGACAAGATACAATTATCAGAAAATAAAAACTGTCAAAAATCCTTTAGAACTCAAAAAAAAAAAAAAAAAAAAAAGCTTACTAAATAGAGAAACTACAACATCAACCACTAAAATAGAATAAACGGTGACAGAGTTAGAGATGTTTAAGAGATCATTTCCAGGCTAATAAAGAGAATGGTTTTTAAGTCCAAATGACCTTGTCTTCACATTCACAACTTATATAAATATAAAATGTTAGAAGAAAAGAACTAAATCTGTTCTAGTCAGTGTAGGATGCAGACAGCAGGGTAGGGGATTGATATCTTCATTAAGAGAACAATTAAGTCCTTTACACCGACTCTAATACGTGCTTCACAGAGACTCTGATGCTGCAGTAAACCTCAGTGTTCCCACAAGCAAAATGGGATAAAATGGCATTAATTTCTCTATTGCAAGCATGAACAGTGCCATATGTCATGAAGCACAATGCCTGGCACTCAGGAAGAACTCAATAAATGATTGACATAATTAGTTTATTTCCCACTTGTCGTATTCTGACTCAAAAGAGTCCAATGTGGGTGGAAATCCAAGTTAATAAAATGCTCCCATTAGTCACTGTTTTACTAAAATAATAATTTACTAGATATTGCATAAGGATGCAGGGCACAGCCAGGAATGAGAGCTGTTTGCCTTGGGCAGAGAAAATTCAACATAAACCTTGTGGTGACCCCATTTTTGTACAGAAGTTTGTAAATTACAAGACAACAGTGCCTTGGACATCTGCAACACTGCAACACAGATGGACCTTTGAGTTGGAAGGAAGGAAGGAGGAGAAGGGAAGGAGGGAAGGAGTGAAGGGGAGAAGGAAGAGGCAGGCAGGCAATGCAAAGCTATATGATTTGTCTGTAACAAGTCCCATGTGTTAGCCAGGCAGTCGCACAGCGGCACACACCTATAATCCCAGCATTTGGGAGGCTGAGGAAAGGATTATGAGCTCAAGGCCAACCTGTACTATCCAGCAAGACCGTCTCAAAATTAAAAACAAAATAAAACAAACCAAAAAAATAAGAAAAAAGGGCCAAAAAATTCAGAGCTTCCTATAATTTCAGTTTCCAAGTACCTAAACCTTAAAGACCTGATCAACCCACTGAAATAATAAACTGCAACACCAGGCACATATCTTCCTGGAAACACTAAGAACCCCCACCCTGCCAAGTGCTTCCTACAGGACAGAGAGGAGACAAAGTAGCCCTAGAAGTTACCGTTACCTTTTCTATGGTCTTGCTCTACTCTACATGCTGAGCACCCTGAAGACAGGCACTTGTGTTTGCCTGAATGTTTCTTAAGTCACAGGACACTAAAATATTGTTCTAAATTGTTTTTAAAAGTTCCTCATGGCATTTCCCTCTCCTCTAAAAAAAATTTTACAATGGAAGTATTGAAATAGCCGGGGATTTAGGTCAGTGGTTCCACCACCTGCCTCTTAAGCGCAAGGTTCTGAGTTTGAGCCACAGTACCAAAAAAAGAAAGGAGGGAAGTATTTGAAATAAAACCTAAGATTTAATTACATTTCTGTAAATCCAAATATCTCAAAATAAACACTCATACATAAAGCTATATTAAGAAATAAATGACATTTCTTTTTGTAAAAACAAATCATTAATCTAAGGCAAGTCCACAATCAAATGCTCATGAGTGTTTTTGAATTCATTAATTCATTCACTAAAAGTTTACTAACTGTACGGAATTGACTAATGGCTCTCACCATTTAAATTTGTAGGATATCTTGCCTATCTGGAAATCAAACCATCCAAATGTCTAACTGAGGGCCAGGGATTTAGTTCAGTGATTCCACTACCTGCCTCACAAGCAATTAGGTTCCAAGTTCAATCCCTGGTACCTCCCCCAAAAAAGTCTGAGAGATTTTTTAAAAGACTGTGCACTATGGGAAAGGATAAAGGTTTCTTACAAGAATCCTCATCCCTTCTTTTTTCAGGTATAGAACAAAAATCCTTCGGAAAAATGTAATTTTAGAACTCCTGGGTTGGTTCTCATTCTGTTTAATGGGAACTATGGTATTAGTGGAGTTTGGTGAATATGTCACACTTCTGGAGGGAATTCAGCTCAAGAAGCATATCATTTTAGACTTTCTCCCTGTTTAATAATAAAAATGCAAAAATAAGTTTTCTTCTTTAAAAATGTAAAGTCTATTATACATTTTAGTCCTTATTTCCACTTTCCTTTTCTTACACCAGAGAAACAATGTGGTATTAAATGTATATTAGATATTGGGAAATGGGAAGAAAATGTTCAAATTTTGAGAAAGGGATTATGGGAGGGGGAGAGGGAAAGAAAAAAGAATGAATAGAAGAAAAAATGGAAACAAAGCTTTTGTAAGTAAGGAGGGGAAGAGGGATCAAAGGGAGGGGGAATGGGAAAAAATTCTTCAAGATATATCATATATAGGTACAAATCCCTATGATGAATTTTTTTTGGGGGGGTACTGGGGAATCGAACTCAGGACCTTGTGCCCACGAGGCAGGTGGCAAAACCACTGAGCTAAATCCCTCGCTCCTATAATGAATCTCATCATTTATGTATAACGAAAATGTACCAATTAATGTTTTGCTTTAAAAAATGTAGTCTAAGTAAATATTCTAGATCAT